CCTTCTGTCCCTCTTCCACCAAACCTCTGGCAAGTTATGACCTTCTGCTGCTGTCCCATACCTTGTACTTGGACACCACTCATACCTTCACTCTGAGATTCTGTCATAGTCCTGACCTCGGACTTTGACCCCACCTCGGCTTAAGTCCATTGCATTGGTGACCTCATACTATGTAAACACCATTGCCAACATTACTCAGACTTTCAACCCCACCTCCGTAACCTCCGTAAGCTCCATGACTTCTGAGCTCCACAGATCATACCTGGCACTTTTGCCACTTGTAATGTATCTTTCACATTTTCCCCTCATCCCTATTTGGACTGCTGCTTCTCTCCATTCTAGCCAGTTAGTCATCACTCCCACTTCTCCTCATCCTCCTGCCCCTCTGGGCTTCGCCCCCCTATCTCCTTTCTGTCATATCTGTCACGGCCATGCATTCCGGCCCGTTAGCCGCCCGTCCCGATGCCGCCCGAGCCCGTTACCGCTATGCGAGCGTGAGCGCGAGCCCCGACCTCAGCCCTATCCTCCCTGAGGGCTCCCTGCTCACTCCCCCACTTGCCCCTAGGCTCCCCTACACTTGGCCGACTCCCCCACAGCCACACCGACCTCCCTGCCCCGAGTCCGCCTCTGGTACCGACCTAGCGTGACTCCGCGACATCGCCTACTCCGCTATGATACCATCGCCGCTATCGCGGCCCTACACCCCTTCGTTTATTTATCTGTTATTGTTTGTTTTGACCCTCGGTCATTGCCGGCCACGGTGCGGCCAACCCCGCTCTTTGTTCCTATTTGCTTCCGGACCCTTCGGCCTTCGGCCCGGGTCCGCTTCTATTCATTCCACCTTCATATATATATCCTGTATACTACATTATAGTACCTTAGCTCTAATATCGACTTGACCACGACCCCAAGCCCTGACCCCAACAAGGCAGCCCCAGTAAGTTCGAAATGAGGGCCAAGAGACAACTAGGGGGCACAGCACTCCCTTTAGAGTTGCTGAGGCCAAATGCCCTACCCTCGGGCCTTGTCTAAGGCATCGCGGCCAATAGCGGCCCGCATCGGCGACCTTCGGTGCCGACCCCGGACCAGTGTCTAACAATATCCGTGCATACCCGACCCCGACCCAACTTCCGGACCTCCACCCTCTTCACCTCCGGAGTCATAACCTACCGCTGCCGTTCCGATACTCACCTTCGGTCCTGGCAACACACCTCCTCCTTACCTCCCCGACCCTATCTCCGTCCGCTCCGATACTCACCTCGGACCGAACACCACCCCTCTCGCCACCCTCCTACTACTCCGCTCCCCCTTCACAACACCTCCACCCTCCCGTTATCCTCCTACGCTTCCCCCATCCGCTCCGATACTCACCTTCGGACCTGACTACTCTCCTTTCCGCCACTCCTTCTCCCCTTACCTGTCCCCTCTCTCCTCCCTCCGTTACTCCTCCACCACCCTTCCGCCAAGTTACGACCTTCCACCGCTGTCCCGTACTTCGCACTCGGACACCACTCGTACCTTGCTCCGAGCCTCCGTCATAGTCCCTACCTCGGACTTTGACTCCACCTCGGTCTTAGTCCATTGCATTGGTGACTTCATACTACGTAAACACCATTGCCAATATCCCTCGGACTTTCAACCCCGCCTCCGTAAGCTCCGCAATCCCCGAGCTTCGCGGATCGCCTTCGGCACTCTCGCCGCCTGTAATGTATTTCTCGCGTTTTCCCTTCATCCCTATTTGGACTACTGCTTCTTTCTATTCTAGCCAGTTAGTCATCATCCCCACTTCCCCTCATCCTCCTGCCCCTCTGGGCCTCGCCCTCCCTACCTCCTTTCGGATGTATCACAGGTCCTGCCTTATGACCTTCGGTACCTATCCGCTCCTTCTACCCTTTGTTCCCGTTCGGACGTCTTCGTTCCGATTCGGTTACCCTTTGTTTTTCCTTGTGCTTTTGCCCCTTCCGTTATATATATCGGCGCTTGTACATACTCGTTTTGGTTTAGTCCAAAATCGACCTGAAATGCCCCCAAGAGACTTCCTGCTCACCTACTGTGAAATTAAGGACCAAATGGACAAACAGCAATGGCACAGCGCTCCACTTGAGTCGCTGAGGCCAAGGTCCCTCCACGCTAAGTCTCCGATTCCACTCTGGAGTCATCTGTTCCCGCCCGGTTCTAACACTTTCGGATGTACCACAGGTTCAAACCTATGACCTTCGGTGCCGCTCTGCTTCTGTCATCCCTTTGTCCCTGTTCAGACGCCTTTGTTCTGATTCGGACCCTCTTTGTTTCCTTGTGCTTTTGCCCTCTCCATTATATACTGGTGCTTGTACATACTCGTTTTAGACCCTTAGTCTAAAATCGACCTGAAATGCCCCCTAGAGACTTCCTGCTCAATGCCTCTGAAATTAAGGACCAAATGGACAAACAGCAATGGCACAGCGCTCCACATGAGTCGCTGAGGCCAAGGTCCCTCCTTGCTAAGTCTCCAGTTCCCCTCCGGAATCGTCTGCCCTCACCCAGTTCTAACAATCACACCACACTCATCCATCTCTTCCTACCCATAGCACCCCTTCCTGACCTCTCCATTCGATTCCCTGGGTTCGTAGCTTTCTCCCAATACCAAATTTGTCCCAAATGGTTGAGATTTGACCGAGTGGTGGGCATGAGAATTGTGAAAGTTGGCCTGTGTGCAGGTTTAGACGTCCCAGAAAGTGTCTGCAAGAGTCCCCGTATCAATTGGATCTTCATACACATCCTTTGTGATTTTTCTGAATTTTTCTGAGCACTCCAGAGTGCATTTTGGTTGTTTGTTTACTTCGGTACGGCTTGTGTTTGGGCCAAAAACCAGTTTCGCAATCTCCTGAAGTACGGATCTCGGCTCCGCTGCATGGGACTTTTGACACTGCCACCCTCACATGCCTTTCGACATTGTGCGGAACCTTGCAGTAAGATGAGAAATTGTCACCACCATTGTTCCACAATGGCTGGGTCGATCTGGATGAAATTCGGGGAATCCATATTTATGATTTTTCTCTATTTTCTGAGCCCTTGATCGTCTCTTGGCAGCCAGTAGTGCCAAGCATAGTTTTTGGGCTGGACCAATTCAGTACCAGCATGTTATGTGCAATTGTACTCCATAATAAAAATGAAATAAAATGTTTTTATGCACCATGGGCTTTGGTAGCATTGGTAGGTGATCTTCGCATGCAGGGAACCCTTAATGAGCGTAAACTGCAAAAATACTGGGGGTGTAGAGTATAGTAGGTTATCCCACCTACAACAGCCTTGTGTGCTGAGCAACCCCACTGAGACCTCACAGCCCTGGAGTTTCCTGTGTCTTAGTCCAATCAGCTTTTTGGGCTGATTTCTCAGCACTTATGCATTCATTGCATAAGTCATCGATCACCTCTTCTGGAGGTGATGAATCTTCCCCAATGTGGGTAAGATTTGTGTAATGTGGAGTTCTAGGGGTATTAGGCCCTGCACTTACTCCACATAAGTTTTTTTTTGAACCCTCAGGGACCATGTTAGAACTGGGCGAGGGTGGACGATTCCGGAGGGGAACCGGAGACTTAGCAAGGAGGGACCTTGGCCTCAGTGACTCAAGCGGAGTGCTGTGCCATTGCTGTTTGTCCATTTGGTCCTTAATTTCAGAGGCGTTGAGCAGGAAGTCTCTAGGGGGCTTTTCAGGTCGATTTTAGACTAAGGGCCTAAAACAAGTATGTACAAGCGCTGGTATATAATGGAGAGGGCGAAAGCACGAGGAAACAAAGAGGGTCCGAATTGGAACAAAGGTGTCCGAACAGGGACAAAGGGATGACAGAAGCAGAGCGGCACCGAAGGTCATAGGTTTGAACCTGTGGTACATCCAAAAGGAGATAGGGGGGCGAAGCCCAGAGGGGCAGGAGGATGAGGAGAAGTGGGAGTGATGACTAACTGGCTAGAATGGGGAGAAGCAGCAGTCCAAATGGGGATGAGGGGAAAAGGCGAAAGATACATTACAAGCGGTGAAAGTGCCAGGTATGATCCATGGAGCTTGGAGGTCGCAGAGCTTATGGAGGTTACGGAGGCAGAGTTGAAAGTCTGAGTAATGTTGGCAATGGTGTTTATGTAGTATGAGGTCACCAATGCAATGGACTTAAGCCAAGGTGGGGTCAAACAGGACCATGATGGAGTCTCGGAGCGAAGGTACAGGTGGTGTCTGAATACAAGGTACAGGACAGCGGCAGAAGGTCGTAACTTGGCAGAGGTTTGGTGGAAGAGGGACGGGAGGAGAGGAGTGAGGAGGGGAATGATGTCAGGTCCGAAGGTGAATCTCGGAGTGGACGGAGATAGGGTAGGAGAGGGACGTAAGGGAGGAGGTGACATGAGGAGTGAGGAGGAGTAGTGTCAGGTCCGAAGGTGAGTATTGGAGCAGATGGAGATAGGGTAGGACTCCGGAGATGGTGAAGCGGAGGGTCCGGGAGTTGGATCAGGATCGGGTTTGTATGGATGTGACAGACCAGCCCTGAAGTGGTTGCTTTTTGAGGATTGCGTTGATCCTCATTGTCATCCAACAATGACTTTTGTTGTGAATCTCCCATGATGGGAGTGCTCATCGTCGCTGCAGAGGCGACTTTGCCCTTTTGGGCATGCTTTGGCACCATAAGCACTACTGAGTCAGATTGTTAAAGATGTTGAGAGTTGGTGGTTTGTGTTTACTTTTTAAACACACCTCATACACTTAAAAAAGTGTGAGGTCTCAGGGGGTCGCTCAGCACACCAGACCGTAAGTGTTACAATGGTGTTAAGCGGGTAACCGGAAGTTGCCGCTTAGCCACGTGGCTCTATGTACACCGTTGTTACATCAGACTCGGGGTTCGGGGCTATTGCCCTGACAGTTTGCAACAAATGAATGGCCAGGATGTCCTAGGACATCTATAGTGAAAAAGGCCTTTAGGCCCCATGCAAACGTCCTGAGGTCCCCCCTATAAAGGCCCACATAGTGGTTGTCCAAGGTGAAGCTGGAAGCATATAAATAATGAAGGTACCAAAGTGTATCTGGGAGTGATGAAACCAATTTGTCAAAATCCGAGAGGCAAAATATGAGTACATGAAAAATTTGTGCATAGAACGCAGAAATGTGTTATATAAATTGAGTATCCAACAGTGGCACCTCCAACAGAATAGTGCAAATAATAAACCAGGTTAAAGAGGTTCGAAGATGATAGAATAGGAAATGCGGGGCGTTTGTTGCACAAGGGGAAGGGCTTTCAGCCTGAGATGGAAAGCTGGAAACTATGGTTCAGGGGCGCCACTATATCCGTGATACTGGATATTATATCGGGGGAGTTCGTTAGTCGGCGACATAAAGTACGGTTCCTGGGACGCAGGTTGTCGAGCGGCAGCCATACTTAGGGGTCGCGTGGAGCCATTGTTCAATGAGGGACCTGACAGTGCAAGTTTTTGACTAGGAGGCTTGCCTGACCACCTCTTAAGGACCCACGCTGCAAGGACTGCAACGAGGCCGAGACCAACCACACCCCCAACCGCGCCTCCGACAATTGGGCCGGTGTTCGAGCTTCCGCCTCCACCCCCAGATCGAGTCGTTGTCGTTGTCATGATGGTCGTGGTGGTGCTTGGATATGTGTTTGTGGTAGATGGGGTGGTGATGGAATTTTTGGAGGTTGTGGGGGTAGAGTCTGTCGTGATAGCGCCGGATGATGTCGTGCTCGATGAGAACATCTGCGAACTTTCAGGTCGATCTGTCGGAATGAAGTATAAGCTTCTAAAGGAAAGAAAAGCGACAAAATATGAATGCGACCTACCGCCGATCTGCTTCGCAATTTCTATGTTGAATCTGGTAATGTAGCCATTAGAAAACATATTTTTTAACCAGACAAAATAAACTCACAGTCCACCGTAGCTGGAAGGCTTGAGATAAGCCCAGCGGGGCACAAGAGTACCGGAAGGAATCAACGACGGTCTATACATGCCCTCCACAGTCGAGATGTTGGTGCAGTCAACCGTCCAAGCCGGATACCTGAGTTACGCATGAGGATCATCGTCAGCACTTGTAATGATTGACATACGATATAAATGTCCCGTTCTGGCACGCCGCACACGCCGACACTAGCCCGTACACAATGGAGGTGCAAATGCCTATGAAAATTTGAGATTCAATCAGGTCGTAGACAGACTGGAGCACACACAATAGTTTGGACTATTTCTATCATCACCGTTTACCGGACCTTGGTTGGCTGCTGAGCACATAAAGTTCGGGTAAATGGTATTACGCTCTCACCAATATAGTGCCCTCCCGGCGGGAGGGGGGGCACACCCCCTCCTAATTGTCGTGAAGTAAGTAGATGCAAAAAGCGAATAACGGGCCCAAATCCAATCCTTACCTCCAACACACACTGCTTGGAGTTCTGACGCAACCTTACATGGGGTTTCTCTGATAACCATTACAGTTGCATAAAGGCGACCACTGACAATTGACAGTCATTGACTCACTTAGCACTATTCAACGCCTGGAGAAGTGAGGTATCTTTAAGCGGCCCTGGAACAGACATAGCTCGATGTCCCACTTACCCAATCAAAGCCGGGGAGGCAAGTGACATTCGACTGCAAGACAATCCAAAGTGAAAGATGACTCTCAACATCTCAAGCTAGAGCTCATTTTCGGAAGGACGTACACCTTGCGCTAACGCTTTGTCTCCTCCAAACGCCAAGAAAAGCGCAGAGAAAAGAAGCGCTTGACGGAAAATTGAATCCATTGTGACACGAGGCCAAGGCGTAGGCAACGAACGCGCCAACCATTGACAAGACGGCATCCTCCAGATATTTACTGTGACACGACCCGGAACGAAGAAACTGCACGAATGGAACCCACCAAGCTTAGAGGACGAAAGGGGAGGTCGACCGCCTTCTTCAAGTTCTTGCCCCTGTTAGGCTTATGTATTTGACTTGAATAAGGGCGCACCCCAATTGTATGCAGTCTTTCAGAAGGTTCATCGGATCGAACGACAACTCCCACTCGCTCTAATTCGGTTTCGACTTTCCTCGAATGACGCCTACTGTCAAGTGAGCCGCAGATTTGATCACTGGCGTGGCAAAAACACCAACTCAACGACGAGCTTCTGCTCAAGCCGCATGATGGGTCGAGTTGAACAGTATTATTATTCCTTTACATACATAAAACCTCCAGAATGAGGTACAATACAGATCTCGTCAAGAAAGGGCAACATCTGCCTCTTTATGTGAAAGGAAAGAGTAGCTCAATTTGACTACATCAAGACTACATAATGACTGCCCATTATCTAATCTGTCGCGTGCCTGAGTATAATTATGAATGTATTGTTATGAAAATGAGGAAATATTCAGGGTAGGATATTCAAACATAATTCCGCAAGCGAGTGTATAGTAGTTAATTAGGCAGATTATGTATCCATAACAACTCCGTGAGCACGGGTAGATTGTCCATGACAATATTTGCGTTGCTATACATAAGGTGGGTCTCCCAATATGAGACCCTTTTACAATTGTATTGCTATCAGTATGGGGATACATAACTTCGATCTCCATCAGGGCGGCATATCTCTATACGCTCTAAAAAAGATGTGTAGCAATGCCTCTTCTCCTGCAGACCTTTAATGCCGCACTTATTGGCACGAGAGTGAACATGGCTCGCCAGGGTCGTCCTTGATCAGACACCAGAACACTTCACCGGCGTTCACGTTGACCAATCGAGGCCACTAGGTAAGCCGCACGCTACACGAATAATCATGTTAGCGCACCGCTTCGCTCATCCATTGTAGAATACAAGCTTAAGTGTTACACAATTAATGCGATTGAGGAAAATCGACACAAAGCAAACGGTCACGGAGCAGGCCATCTCAGGATGTGATACATGTAGACAATGAACAAACGGTGGTAGGAGGCAGGTAGTTGTGCGTCACATAGTTATTGTCAGAGTTGGTGGGTCCGACAAACTGATTATGTGATCGCCAATCAAAACCATGCTCAGTGACTGGGAGTGACAAACGGCACTACCGGCACCATGTTGGTTCGACTTCGTCTCGCGCCTTAGCATTTCTTTTCGGCTTGGATTCCATATTTTCGAGAGTGGTTGCATCCTACCGGCAACTCTCCTCCCACAAAGCTTTGTATTGAGCGCTGATACATGAGGACGGCTGTTCTTCCATATCACCCCGGATTGGCCTTGATCGACAGGGCGGGTTGGGTATGGGAATTGCACCAAGTTTGCGCTCTCAAACGAACCGAAATTCAAAATTGGCGAGAATTTCTCGATCGCTCCAGCTTTGTTGTTCCTTCGCCGCTCTAATTAGCACGTTACCATCAATATTACGCTCTGCGGTGGCTTAGGTGCGCCAGTAAACTGGGCCTCAGCCTTACAGCCTATCGGATCCAGGAATCCATGCACAAGTATGCTCAGGACGTTCAGTAAGAACTCAATAGACAATATCGCTGTTCGCCACATGGAGATTCTGGGATTTACGGCCCTTCGAATTGCTCATTGTACTGAAGTTGTGCACTGGGCAGCAAGTCATCGGCGTGTGGTGAGTTCGCCTTCGTCATGTATGAACCTATCGTTCACCCCTCAATCCCCCTCCCCCATGTCATCGTTCGCTATTGATCCGAATATCAAACTAAGGTGTCCGAAACTGTTCGAATCATCCTCGCACGCAGTGCATCTAAAAATCCAATCACGCTTGTTTTCGCCATGGACAGTGGGACCGTCTTCCCATGTCTTCCACTCGGAAACGACTGATCCTTCCGGACGAGCTTCTAGCTCTCGGGACGCTGGCTATGAAGGGCTATGACTGGGCGGCACGTATGTTGGAATTGATTGCATGCGGATCCAGCGTATCCAATTTGGTGATTCGGCTTTCGCCTTGTCATTCGGGTAGGCAGGTTACCAGCTTCTATTGGAATAGAGGCTGGTTTCAATCTCGGTCTACTGAATGGAGAACTTACTGAATGGCCAAAAACATCAGGAAACCCCCGAGGCCGATTGAGGTGATTGAGAGCAATTCAAGTGCTCAATCTGCCCAATCTGCCCAATCGACTACTCTCAATCGTCTCAATCATCACAATCGCGAGTCCATTTGTTTGCTCCAGGTGCTGTACAGTTTTCAAATGAATTGGTTTGCAACTTGTAACTTTTTTTTTCACTCCACCTCACCCATGTCTCTTTACTATGCAACACAATATTTTTTACTCCACTCCGATGTTCCTTACTTGTGCTCATGGGCCAACACCCTTCCACAGTCACCCAACCCTTCCCCAACATGCTCCCTTCCCATATTCTTTTTTTTCAAGTCATTCCATCCAACCCCAACTTAACTTCTCACACACGACACTATCCCCAACTTCTTACTGCATGTACTCAACAACCACGCATCCATTTCCAACGATTCTAATCTCATTCGATAGATGAGATCTAGCTCTATCTTTCTACAGAGATTGGTACCAAACGGTCCAGCGATTGAGGTGCGCGTCTGCTTCCTTTAAATATATTGTACTTCACTAACCTCAATTTCTTACAGCTCGTACTCAACAACCACACCTCCGTTTCGGATGAACTTATGCTTGTTTGATATAGAGGTTTGGCTCCATCCTCCCACCGAGTTTGGTGCCAAATGATCCAGTGGTTGAGGTGGGCGTCTGCTTTCTTTAATTATATTGTATTTCACTAACCCCAACTTCTTACTGCGCATACTCAACAACCACATGTCTGTTTCCGATGGACCTAGGCTTGTTTGATAGAGGAGATCCAGCCCCATCTTCCCATTGAGTTTGGTGCCAAACGGTCCAGCGGTTGAGGCGTGCGTTTGCTTTGTTTAATTACATGGTCTTTTCACCCATTTCGCTTTCCTCCTATTGTTTTGCACCATTGTGTTTTGGTATTAGTTACTTGCATGCCTGTATGTACATAACATAATTTTTAAATATAATAATTTCATCGATGAACTTCAACATGTAGAAGAGAAATGTGACAATTAGTACAATCAGTATAATCAGCTCAATCACCCGTGTGATTGGTGTAATTGTAATCAGGTGGTGATTGTAAATTGCATGACATTGAAATGATCTCAATCACCTCAATCAGCCTTGGGGGTTTCCTGATGAAGGGTCCTACTGAATAGCGTGTGAATATTGATGACATGATAAATATTAGTACTGCTGCCTAAGCACGATTATGTAAAATGTTGTGTAACCAATTCATCCAGAATATCCCTGAGCGCTTGCCTCTCATGAACTTTGAAACTATCATATGGGATAAACCTAACTCCAAGTACAATGAAGCGATTGAGGCTCTATGCATTGAACTGCAACCATTTATGCATGAAAGTGAACTATGGATGACACAAATCTTTCAAAAATGGTTCCATCTCAATCCGCATGCCTGGCAGGTTAGGAATGTGTGGCACCTGTGCCAGGGAAAAGACATCTTTCTCACTTCAAAAACCGGGAGTGGGAAGTCAATGCTCACCATGGCACCAGTAATAGCATGCAGGGTTCTGAAAAGACCACACATAGCCATTATTGTTTACCCAACAGTTGAATTGATGCTTGATCAGGTGAGTTCAGCTATTCATGTACAGTTGTGAAAAGTCTGTAATGAACCTACATGTTTTCCAGGAAACCCAAGCACACGGAAAAAATATCAGATTTCTTGCTCTGAATGCCGAGACAATTGCCACAGCATATACAGAGCATAATCGTGACCTATGGGAGGAGGCTCAACAGCTTCAGTGGGATGTGATTGGCATGAGTCCAGAAATGCTTACCGAAAGAGGTGCTGCCAAGTTGCTGGAAGATCCTGACTTCAAACGTGCATTGGGTTTCTGTGGCATTGACGAAGTCCACCTAGTATTAGACTGGGGAGTTTTCCGTCCAAAGTACAAAGTCCTCTCCGAAATCCGGTCTTGTGTTGGATCTTCCATCCCATTCTTAGCCATGTCAGCATCCCTACATCACAACAGCAGAGCCCAAATACAAGCCCACCTTGGATTCTATGGAGACCATTTCCATGATGAAAAGTTACCAGTAGATCGCCTTGATCTCAAATACTGTGCATGTGTACATTACCATTCAATTGATGGTCTGGAATTTCCGGATTTTGCTTGGGCCATTGTTATGGAAATGGGAATTTCCCATTTTAGACTCTTATGGGTTCTGTGTCACATGATTTGTATAGTAATTAAGTTTAACCAATCAATAAACAACGAAAAACCCGCTGCCACACTACCTGTTAAACTACATGTTAAACCATCTGTGAAACCATCTGTAAACCCTAATGAACCACCTCCCTTCCTCTTTCCTTTTCCCTGCGCCTCGAACGGACGAAAATGGGCGCCTCCAGCCCCATTTTTGTAACAGCCATACCCAAGGAACTTAACTCCCCAACTGATCTTGTCCCCACACTATTTGCTGTCCGCACTGTTGAGAAAGCCACAGTGTTTTCCAAGTGGCTGATCCGAGAGTTGGAGCGGGTTGCACCAGATGGTTATCTGGCAAGGGATTTGGTATGGCCATTCCATGCTGAGCTATACAAAGAGGACTGCAGTGCTACCCGTGCTGGTTTGATGTCAGGTCAGATTAGATATGTGGTTGCAACAATTTGTGCAAATGTGGGACTTAACTTGCCAGTCCAATGGGTTGTATGTGTTGATCTTCCTGCAAGCTTCGAAGAAATGACACAATGGGCTGGGCGAGCAAGTCGGGATGGGAGTGGTGGAAGCTTCGTTGTTTATGCACCAAAGGAAATGATACTCACACTGGAGATGGTTGAGGATTCCAAGGGATGCAAAGAAGGGTGATGGGGTATATGTTGACTCCACAAGAAGAACTGCAAAGGCTTTGACTGCGGCTCAAGTTGCCACTCGCAAACATTATCAGTCAAAGGTGGCTCCAGGTTTAGTGAAGTTCTTCAACCCACCCAGAACCCAGTGCCGGCGTTCTGTTCTGTGCGAATATTATGGCGATGACTTCAAAAAGCCCTGTAATTGCTGCGAGTCTTGCCAAGAGGACATGAGAGTGAGGGACGAGGGTATGGTTGAGCAATATCTCAAGGCAGCAGCATTCCGGAAGGCATTGGGAAAAACGAAACTTCCATCAGTGCCCAGAGGAGTGAAGAACTTCACCGAACTTACCAAGGATCTCAAAGCACAGGTGCTCAATTGACTCAAGAAGTGGCATCAGGATGCCTGGTATGCACTCATGGATCCACTCCAAATGAACTCACCACCTGGAAGGATAATCGGTGACAGGGACTTAAAGAAACTTACCGATCACCTCCATATTTTGACACTGCCCACCAAGTTTATGAACTTCCTACAAACTCTCCCGACAACAACCTGAATGACAGCAGCTCAACAAGAAAGCCTCTGGGGACTTGTGCAAGAACTCAACATTGAGATGGAAGTGGCAGCAGAGAAGGTGAAGACGAAGAAAGGAAAAGATTCACAGCCTAGTCAGGCAGCAAGGGTGCAAGCAGATGTAGGTATGGGTGTTGGGGGCGAAGGCAGTAATGGAGTCCCAGGTAGAATACCGTTGGAGAACGTAGAAACACTGAGCCAGGATATGTCAGCTGTTGAAGTAATAACAGGGCCACGTAAACAGAAACTTACTGAACGTGCACGACTCATGTTGGAAGAAGGGATTTAGATTAAATCAAAGTATACCATGGATTAGTACACGTTACTTCCCAAAATATTTGTCCAGAAACTTTTGCAATGCACCTTCTGTTGGAATCAAGCACGATACATGTATTTACACATGTTTGCACCGATGTTTTAATCTTAGTGGTCTATCGTTAGCTGGTCCGATCCCGGCCCCGTTGTGGCCTCACTCCTATGGTTTTCTATACCTTCTTTGAGTTTTGCCAATCCACGCTCGATAGGGTCCAACACAACGCATCTGGAAACCCCCGAGGCTGATTGAAGTGGTTGAGATCATTTCAACCTCACATGATTTACAATCACTTCAACTGGGTCCCCTGATTGTAATCACACCAATTACGGGGGTGATTGAGCTGATTCAGTGATTGTACGGTTGGTTGTATTGGCACGCTATCACATTCTCTCCCACATTGAAGTTTATCAATAAAGTTATTATATTTGAACATTATGTTGCGTACATACTTGGGAAAAGAACCCAGATACAAGTTATTACAGTAGTACCCAAACACAATGTAATGCAAAATGAAACACAAAATAAAGAGAAGAGGAAAGTGGGTGAAAATACAATGTAATCAAAGAAAGCAGACGCGCGCCTCAACCGCTGAACCGTTTGGCACCAAACCCGGCATAAATGTAGAGCTAGTTATCTTCTATCGAACAAGCCTAAGATAGTCGGAAACGGATGAGTGGTTGTCAAGTACATGTGGTAAGAAGTTGGGGATAGTGTCGCGCGTGAGAAGTTTGGTTGGAGGTTGGAAATGACATGGGAAAAAATCATGGGAAGGGGGATGTATCGGAGGGTATTGGGGAAGGGTCAGGCAATCACGGAATGGTGGTGGCTCATGTAAACAAGCACAAGAGGGTGGTTAGGTGGTCAGTTTAGCAACAAACACAGTGAACCGCCCTACTTACGACTCGACATACAACACAGGGTAGGTTTGGACCCTCATTCTTTCTTTTTCAAGTAAGGAACATCTGGGGTGGAGTAAAAAACATTGCATTGTGAATGCAACTGGAAAAAGAAAAAAGAAAAAAGAGACATGCATTATCATGTTTGTTCATGCAGTTCCCACAGCTCAGTTTGTTTGGGTGAGTTGTTAATTTGGTGTTGCATGTGAAGAGAGAGTGGAGTGGAGTAGTGGAGTGCATGAGTTGGAGCAAAGAAAAAACTTCTAAGTCGCAAACCCATTCATTTGAAACTGTACAGCACCTGGATGCAAATGACGGACTCACACACATGGACGTATCCATGTGTGGTTGTGGTGATTGAGATGATTGAGAGTAGTTGATTGGGCGGATTGGGCAGATTGAGTGATTGAATTGCTCTCAACCACTTCAATCGGCCTCAGGGGTTTCCTGATGTGTCAAACATTATGTTAGTTTTCACATGGCCTGAGAAGAAGTTGGCTAGCCCAAATTTCTCTAATATGTTCTGGGCCAGCTCTTTCAGTGGGACAATGTTAAGTGCAACAGCTTCCCTAAGAAAAGAAGAAATTTGGCCAACCAGCCATTGAACACCTGTTTGATCCAAAAGTTGTGGTGCTCCTGAAGGAGATCATGCTCCACCCGTCCATCAGAGCGGCCTGATGGGCAAATGACATAGTTGCTGAACATGGCCCTCTTCATCTTCTCAGAGAAGTGGAACCACAAGTCAAGTGCTTGATGTAGCAGCTCTTAACCATAGTTTGTTGCCCCAACCCCAAAAAACCAAATCCATAGCCACTGGCAGGAAAACTGAGTGTAGGAAAGCAGCAATCAACGCTGCATACTTACCTTGATGATTTCAAATGTGCATCCAACATCCCCATCCTTGATGCTAGTCCGGAACTCCCAGTACAGGAGCATGTCACAGTAGAGCAGTATGTTGTTGAATAAAAGAATGTCACCAATAGAACCACCGTCGGGTGTCTCAGGTGGCCCAGAATCATCAAAGAGATCAACAGTACTGTTGTACTGCTGGCCACCATCACAATTCTGGAATGTAACACCATCCTCAGTGTTGTCATTCTCATTCTCGGAGTCGGAGTCGGTTTCGGAGTTGTACTTCCGGCTTTCGTGCGTGCACTCAAAGAAAGTGGTTGGGGTGAAGGGAATAATGAGTCCTTGACTGGGTCAAGGGATTGATGGAAGTATTTGGTTGCCTCAGCGGTATTGTAGTAAAGGGCCATGTGTGCTGACTGTGACGTGGCAAAAGTTGTATAGCACAGCTCGAATAGTTCATCAAAAGAACAATTGTGAAGGAAGTGGCCCTTCTCTGAGTAGAGCTGTAACTCCTCAGTGAGGTGGGGGATGCAGCTGAGTTGGGCAAGAGAGAGTGAGGAGTCCTTCTGATGAATGAAGATCCTATTTGAACGTAAGATGTGTTAGACCATAGCAAGTACTGAAACTATGTCATACCTAGCATCAAGAGTGGCTGGAGCATGTGGGAGACAAAACAGCAGATTGGGCACTCCTGGAGCCAATAGTGTTCTCCTGGGAGGGGGTTCAGGAGCAGCTGGGAGTGGTGAGGAGTATGTAATGTGCCAGGAGCAGTGGGAGGAAAATTTTGGTCTCTAGAGAGTTGAAAAAAAAAATTTAGGGAAAAATCAAAAAAAAAAATTCAGGAACTATAGTGCCTTTAAAGTGCTTTCGGGACATATAATTATTTGCAAAATTGAGGAAGAAATGATGGAGAAAAATGGAAAATACTTTTGGAGACCCGAGAAATAATGAGAACTGAATTGATGGGAAAGTCTGAAAATTGAATAGGAAAGTGAGGGGAAGCCTTGTAAGCATTGTTATTTTCTGCTGTTCTGATTTTTCCTGATTGTTCTTGGTCTCACTCCCAGCTGCTCCTGGACCCTCCCAGGAGCTTTCAGGAGCTTCCTGGAGTATTGAGGAGCAGCTGGGAATGAGACCAAGAAGAATTGGGAAAAATCAGAACAGCAGAAAATAACAATGCTACAAGGCTTCCCCTCACTTTCCTATTCAATTTTCAGACTTTCCCATCAATTCAGTTCTCATTATTTCTCGGGTCTCCGAAAGTATTTTCCATTTTTCTCCATCATTTCTTCCTCGATTTTGCAAATAATTATATATCCTGAAAGCACTTCAAAGGCACTACAGTTCCTGAATTTTTTTTGATTTTTTCCCTAATTATTTTTTTCAACTTTTTAGAAGTCCCTATTTTTCAAATTTTCCTCATTTCCCTCTATATCCCCCCCTCATTCCCCCCTCATTCCCCCCCTCATTCTCCCCCTCATTCTCCCCCTCATTCTCCCCCTCATTCTCCCCTCATTCTCCCCCTCATTTCCCCCTCATTTCCCCCCCTCATTCTCCCCCATTTCCCCCTCCCCCATATTCTGCCAGCCTGAAAGTGATTAAGTTGCCAGATTAATCATATATCAGGCCATAAATTTTGATTGTGTATTGGTGAGTCTCAGTGTCCTTGATATATAGTATAGTGTTTGATCTAAATGTTAAGCAGTGTCTTGTTGTGTTAGTCTTGTGGTAGGAGGTATTCATGGGGGATCTTCCCTCTTTTTTTTTCCTTTTCATTTTCAAATGCTCCAGGAGCTCCCAGAAGCTTCTCACCCCTATACACTTTGAAGCATTTAAATTGTATTTACTGGATATGTTTGTGCACAAAGCAATGCTCCAGGCCCTCCTGGGAGTGCCCTGGAGTACCTAGCCAACTCCGGAGGAAATGGGCTGTTCCTGGACCGGCCAATCTCCTCCTGATTCTCCCAGTGCTCTCGATACTCCAGAGCACTCAGGAGCATAACAATTTTTTGCTGATGATAGTGCAAGGTCATGGCTGTCAGAACAGTCTCGACAAGCCGCTCTGCTGGATAGAATTCAGGATCGTTGCTGTTGAGTTTCCTTCTGAGTTTTTCTGCACTGACGTGCAAACCAGTGTCCCCTTGAGCTGTACTTGTGGCCCAGTGATTCCGAAAGACCCCCTTGATGAATGCCCATTTCATGTGCCATAGCTCAGTGAGTACCAGCGCAAATTTGTGAGAAGAGAACCAAGTGCGTGTCAGAAACTATGTTCGAGGTGATCGCGGGAAGCGGAGCGGAGTACGGCGGTGTAAGTGGTCACTTAGCTAATGAGCTACTCCGTTGCAAGGCGTCGAGGGGGTTGGGACTTCGGCTTCAACGACTTTGCCAGAGCGTTGCGCCACGCGTTCCAGGCTGTCCCGTATTTCACGTTAGCGGGAAAGACCTTGCGGTGACGTTGACTGAGGTGGGGATGAAGTTGAGAGGCGAACTTAAGATGAAAGTACTTGGGGGGGGAATTCTAGTCGATATTTGAACTCCGGTACATCGACAGTAAACGACAAGTATAAATAAGAAAGGAGAACAGAGAAGGGGCCGGTCGGTTCGGCGCGGGACGGGAGCGGGACGATAAGTACGACAGAACTAAAAGGGCGATGCGGACCAGGGTAATGGAACAGAAGAAAAGAATGGAACAGAGGACGGCGAAGTTGGGAGGCAGAATGGATAGGCCGACAATATAGGCGCGCGGATCAGAATGTCAATATACGTATAAATCAAATATCAATAGAGGAATAATCAATTGTCAATAAAGGAATGTCAATAAGGAGTGGATCACGGCGACCATAACAACCGCTAGTTAGTTAAGCGAATGAATAGAGTAAAACAGTATCGACCGAATGGCTGAGGAACCCAAGTGGTGGCGGGAGAACGAAGGAGGCGCTGCTACGGGGCCGTAGGACGGGAACCACTATCGGCGCCGCTAGGTGATGGGCAATGGTGAGATTAACGGGCGCGAGTAACGGCGCGAGGGTGGGGGTGCAGAAAGTGGTAGAGGGGCGGGAACTTTGCAGGGCCGTGACAGTGCGCCCTCGCACAGTGTGGCGCTTCAGCGAACAGAGTTTAGCAGCAGTCGAACAATCACCAGAAATTGAGATCATCCGGTCATTCAACTCCTCCGGCTTAACACCCAATTGCCACACCAACAAATCCTTCACTACTTCCTGGTTTCCAATGTTCTGGGCCTCATCAAACATGCTGGTCTCCATTGGGTAATATTCGGTCTTTTGAAGACTGACCGGATGTTTTGAATAACGGTGTTGGTATAGGTGTTCAAGGGCTCCATGATGGCATTGGAGATTTGGCACATATTCAAGGATGATATGAAGGATGTTGATTATGATTACAACTGTGATGTGGTCCCATTGTATGTCATCCCATATTTTTGAATATGTGATTTGTTCTCGAGTGACTGAAGCACATCGACATTTGTATTCCAATCCATCAAATGCACCATCCTCAATGTCACACTGTATAATCAATGTTGCTGCCATTCCACTCTCGAGGGAGGTCTGTGATTCAAGTGAGGGGCACCAACACCCGCGATACTGATTGATATTGTCATAGACCATGTTAGAACTGGGCGAGGGTGGACGATTCCGGAGGGGAACCGGAGACTTAGCAAGGAGGGACCTTGGCCTCAGTGACTCAAGTGGAGCGCTGTGCCATTGCTGTTTGTCCATTTGGTCCTTAATTTCATAGGCGGCGAGCAGGAAGTCTCTAGGGGGCATTTCAGGTCGATTTTAGACTAAGGGACTAAAATGAGTATGTACAAGCACCGGTATTGTCAGGGCACACCCACCTGACCCGGGCCCACCTGAGTCCACCCAGCCACACCTCACCCGCTGCCCCACTGCCCATCCTTCCCCTCCCTCCTTCCCTCCTCTTTCTTTCTTCTCTCTCCCTTCTCTTTTCTTTATTTCATTCTTCCCATCATTCCCCTCCTGTTTATTCTTTCTATTTACATGGACCACTTTCCTTTGCATCAATGTACTATTGACCTGCCCAACCCAGACTCCCTGGACAGCTCCCTGCTGTGCCCAGCACGTGCACCTGCACTGGATGCCCTTGGGATCCCCCATGGGGACACCCAGATGGCTGCAGTTGCCTCTGAGGATGACGTGGCATCTGTCATGTGACTCAAGCCGCATGTACATAAATGTACCTGAAGTGGGAACCGAAGAAGTAACCTTCTTCTCACCTTTTCCACTTCAGGTAAGTTAGTGTAGTTTTCCCTTTCAATAACAATTCACCTTTTCCACTTCAGTCCGAGTGGCCAGGGACAGCTGTCCCACATCGGGCCTGCCAGTACGCATGCCCGATCTACCCCCCGTGAGGTCCTCAGTGCCGGGTGCTATACCCAGACCCCCTCGACCCCGGATGCATCCCTGACAGGTATATAATGGAGGGGGCGAAAGCACAAGGGAAACAAAGGGGGTCCAAATCGGAACAAAGGCGTCCAAATGGGAACAAAGGCGTCCAAATGGGAACAAAGGGATGGTGGAAGCGGAGCGGTGCCAAAGGTCATAGGGCAGAACCTGTGGTACATCCGAAAGGAGATGGGGAGGGCGAGGCCCCAGAGGAGCAGGAGGGTGAGGTGAAGTGGGGATGATGACTACCTGGCTAGAATGGGAATAAGCAGCAGTCCAAATAGGGATGAGGGGAAAACGCGAAAGATACATTACAAGCGGCGAAAGTGCTGAAGATGATCCATGGAGCTTGGAAGTTACGGAGGCGGGGTTGAAAGTCCGAAGAATATTGGCAATGGTGTTTACGTAGTATGAGGTCACCAATGCAATGGACTAAAGCTGAGGTGGAGTCAAAGTCCGAGGTCGGAGCTATGATGGAATCTTGGAGCAAAGGTACGAGCGTAGTCCGAGTTCGAGGTATGGGACAGCGGTGGAAGGTCATAACTTGGTGGAGGGTTGGTGGAAGAGGGTCGGAGGGAAGAGAGAGGAGAGAGGAAAGGGGAGAGGAGTGGAGGAGAGGAAAGGTGTCAGGTCCGAAAGTGAGTATCGGAGCGGACGGGAGAAGGGTAGGAGAGTGATGGAAGGGTGGAGGTGTCGTGCGGAGGAAGAGGAGGAGTGAGAGGAGGAGCAGGAGGAGGGTGGCGAGAGGAGAGGTGTTCGGTCTGAGGTGAGTATCGGAGTGGGCGGAGATAGGGTAGGAGAAGGATGGAAGGGTGGAGGGTAGGACTCCGGAGGTGGTGAAGATGGAGGTCCGGGAGTCGGTTCAGGATCGGGTATGCACAGATATGACAGACCAGATGGATTGAGAGCTCATTCTGAACGAGCTTGCAACCTATGGCTTTGAGGTTTTCAGCTGCATTTTTGGCAGCACTGTGGAGCCGGTTGTGCATGGTAGTATGGGCAATGACGAGACCAATGCAGTTTAGGATGGAGACTGTTGCACGGTGAGTATTTGTTGCAAACATCAGAGTTCCAAATATGTACTGAAGCCGATTGACTACTTTATTCCTGAAGTTCACAAGCATGCCCATTATTATAGTACAACCCTGCATAGTATTAAGTCTTCTTTTTTGCACACATTCTGATTTCAGGACTCACAAGATATGGGTCGCGAACATGATTTGACCCTTTTCCGCTTGCTTTTGTCCTTGCTGCTGCTTGCCTGAGCTCCTCTGACTGGTTCTCCCCAACTGCTGTGCTTGTCAGCAGTGTCCAGGCTATGGGAGCTGTTTGCATCATTGCCATCTGTGTCTCCCTGACCGAGAACTGGTTTATGCTATTCCACGAAAATGAATGGCCTTCTTCAGCACCAGAACTTCGCAGGACAGGTTCTTTCTGGAGCTGGCATATCTCTTGGTCAATGTGCTTGGAAATCTTCTGGACAAAATATCTCTCTAGTGTTTTGTATGAACTAGTCGGGGGCTTAGTAGCTGGGTTCTCGGCAATATTCGAATGGTCTTTGATTTCTTGGGTATCTAGGGTGTGTGGACTGAGCTTGATTGGGATGCAAGATGGTGGTATGAAGTGGGTTGGATTGTCCCATTGCCCATTCCGAGACCAAGGATGCTCAGTCAGAGCATGAACAAAATCAATGGGCCTGTTCTTGAGCGTGTGCCCACTAAGAAACCATCGAACCTCATAGGCAGTTGTGCTGTCAAACGATAGGTTTTGGTCTACCAATATCATGAGGAATTCACCAATTGTCAGCTTCTGAGCATGCAAGACCCAGAAAACAGGATCAGCATGGGAAAGAGCATCTTTCTTTTCTCCTTGCTCACGGTGTGTGGACACTGTGAGGTTTGTGCTAGAGCAAACCTCACATATGGTTACCGGTAATGAGCCATAGTCCTGAATGGCTGAGGGTGACAAGGTTGATGTCGAGTCACTCAGACTTCTGAAGCAAGGAGGTGGAATCGGGAGGCTTTCAGGAATATATCCATTTATCCTGAATTTCTTTGATGGAGAAAGAGGTTCTCTTGCATCTTCCTGTGGTGCTGTGGGACCTCACTTGCGCTTTGTGGGTTTTGTTGAAGGTCAGCCTCGCCTGGGCAGGATCAGGGGAGTAAGTGGTGAAGGAGAGAACAAAGGAAGGTCAGTTGGGAGGTTCAAACGAGACCACCACCAAGCTGTTCCCTGGTTCTTTAGTTAGGATGGGGAAGTGTACTCGTAATATTTGTTGTAATTATAGTACCAATCCAGGCGTTTTGGCTAATTCTATTTTATGGGTTAATCTAAAAGTTTCTGAGAATTGACTTACAAATTAACAAAGCCCTGCAGAGCTGTTCCTCTATTGTAATTTCTCAATTTGTCTGGGTGTAATTCTGTGTAGGATTGTTTAATTTGGATTTTAACTTGAATTAAATCTTCTACTTGGTGAAGTTTCAAAGATTCTACTCAGTTAATGGGTTTAGATTGTATCTGAAGTGTCCCTTGAGTTTGTTTTATTTTTGTCTTATTTTATTGCTTGTTTTAACAGTAGCAAAATAACTGTTTTGTGTTTACACTTTGAAATCTGGAGTGTTAACCAGCTCTCCTGTTGAAATATTTACTTAATATTTCTCTCCCTAATTGCTGCCTTTTACTACAGTGGCAATCTTAACTGTATATCACTTTTTCGCACTGGAGTGACAACCAGAAATGCTTGAGAAAAATAATACTCTATTTTCTTACTTCTCTGAGGGGGGCGAAAAGTCGCAGAAATGGTCTCCCTTTTATACTCCTTGGGTTGCCTTCCTTTTTCATGCTCTACCTCGTATTTACAGGATTTATTTACAGTGTATTTTCCTCAAACTGAATAAAAAATGAAATTTTCATGCTATAGTTCTACTGCGCTCTGCTGTGCTGAACTCCAGCTCTACTGCGGTCAGACTGCGCTTAGAATCCTTATTGTCCTTCCTCGCCTAAGCTATTTTGATGGTTAATTAGAACTTGACTAAGCTGCATTTGTCACAGTTTTCTATTTCAAATTCCCCATATTTACCATTAAGTTCGCTATGACTCGGTCATTCTGAATTCAAACTTCGCATTACTATGTGTATGGCTGCGCTGAGACCTTCAGCTGATTTATTCTATTTTTATCCAGTAACATTTAGTTGAAATGAGACTTGAAATTGTCATATCCATACATACTCGATCCCGAACCGACTCCCGGACCTCCTTCTTCACCACCTCTGGAGTCCTACCCTACCGCTGTTCGTTCCGATATTCACCTTCGGTCCTGACACCACACCTCCTCTCACCCCTCATGCCACCTCCACTCCTCCGTCCTTCTCCTGTCCTATCTCCACCCGCTCCGATACTCACCTTGGGCCAAACACCACCCCTCTTGCCACCCTCCTCCTCCTCTTCCTCCTCACAACACCTCCACCCTTCCATCATCCTCCTACCCTTCACCCATCCGCTCCGATACTCACCTTCGGACCTGACACCTTTCCTCTCCTCCACTCCTCTCCCCTTTCGTCTTTCGTCTCTCTTCCCTCTGGCCCTCTTCTGCCGACCTTCCGCCAAGTTACGACCTTCCACCGCTGTCCTGTACCTCGTACTCAGACACTGCTCATACCTTCGCTCTGAGACCCCACCACAGTTCCGACCTCGGACTTTGACTCCACCTCAGCTTTAGTCCATTGCATTGGTGACCTCATACTACGTAAACACCATTGCCAATATTCCTCAGACTTTCAACCCCACCTCCATAACCTCTGTAAGCTCTGCAACCTCTGAGCTCCACGGATCATCTTCGGCACTTTCGCCGCTTGTAATGTATCTTTCACATATCCCCCTCATCCCTATTTGGACTGCTGCTTCTTCCCATTCTAGCCAGTTAGTCATCATCCCCACTTCCCCTCATCCTCCTGCCCCTCTGGGCCTCGCCCTCCTTACCTCCTTTCGGATGTACCACAGGTTCTGCCCTATGACCTTCGGTACCGCTCCGCTTCTGTCATCCCTTTGTTCCTGTTCGGACGCCTTCATTCCGATTCGGACCCCCTTTGTTTCCTTGTGCTTTCGCCCTCTCCATTATATATATCGGCGCTTGTACATACTCGTTTTAGGCCTTAGTCTAAAATCGACCTGAAATGCCCCCTAGAGACTTCCTGCTCGCCGCTTATGAAATTAAGGACCAAATGGACAAACAGCAATGGCACAGCACTCCACTTGAGTCGCTGAGGCCAAGGTTGCTAAGTCTCCAGTTCCCCTCCGGAATCATCTGCCCTTGCCCAGTTCTAACAGAAATGATAAATGAGTGAATTATTCAGGTTTAGAACCAAAAGAAAAAGTTGCTAGTAGTCAAGAATTGTTCAAACGAATGTATTATAGCTCTCCACTTCATTGGTATATCGTTCCCTAAAATTCCCACCATGGTCTGTTGTAGTTTAGTGGTTTTTGTGGATTTCATCCATCTGCCCTGATTCCCCTTTGTATTATTACATCCTAGTCTTCCATATGTATTGTTCGTTGTTATAGTAGGTCGTCCTTGAAGATATCATATTTCTATGTATTTTATTTGGGGCTCTGGACCTCTAGAAGCTGTCTTCCCGCACATTTTCAGGTTTCTAACTTCATGTCCTTGTATCTCATTCATTTCTGAATGGTTTTTCACGTTCTCGGTATCATAAATTTTCATTTATTCCCACCTTTCCAATGATACTAAAGTTGTATTCTATTTCTTGGTATTCATCGAGTTAGCAAAAGTTTGCACGCACATTCAGTAATCACGTGCGTCATTCCCGTAGTCGTTTGTATGTGGGCACTGTTTCTGTTTAATTGTTCGGGATTTATGCTTGGTTGTTTGTATCCTTTATACAGGCTTCTGTGATTTATTTCAGATTTTTCCCTCATGATCTAAGGTTGTTTTGTACTTTCCGTGCTTTGTTTTGACCGGGGTCTTCCTTATTTGGACGGAAATTGGTCTTTGCAATCTGCCAAAGTGCAGATCTCAGTTCCAACGGCCGGTTCCTTTCACATTGCCACCCTCACATGTCTTTAAGCATGATGTGGATTTCTATATTCCCATCATTGGTATAACTTCACAATGGCTGGACCGTTTGAGCTGAAAATTTGCATAACTATAGTTTCCTATTTATCATAATTTCCGTGTGAATTTTGTTGTGTATTTTAAATATGGATCCTACGTAAACGTCGTCTTTTCCCTGAGCCCAGACCTTTGATGTTGCTCTTCCCATTATTGGATATCTCATTGATGCGTGATCCTTTTATTATGAAAATTTGGGTGGATTAAGATTAGATCCCTTCCTTTCTAATGGGCTATTAAGCTTGTCTCGGTCATTACTGCTTGTTCTTCGCACTTGCCTTTTAAACGTTGTCCTTGTTTTCCGAGAGTTTTGGTCATATCTCCGTCATTTATGGGTAGTTTTCCCTGTAATTACTTTCATTGGGTCCGTTTGTGAGACATCTACATTTCCTATTATAAACACGACCCTGAACTCTGCATTAGTTCCTAAGGAATCCTTGTTCCGTGGTACTTCCATCCTCGGCTACATGTGTGGGCATGGGAAAGTAGTTTCCATGGAGGTTCTCTGGTTGCTTTTATAGTCAAATCTTGGTCAATTGTCCTAATTCTTTGTTTAATATTTGCTATAAATTCCCCCCGAGAATTCCGTCCTGTTGATGCTAAGCTTGAAGTATTTTTGCTAATTTCCTTTCTTCCAATTTATTGTATGTAGTCATAATAATTCGTAAAAATTTGTTAAAATTCAGGTTCTTCTATTTTCTCATATCTACTTGTCATATGGGGTTTTGTGATTTATCTGGCATATTTCCATAATGGGTTTCCATAGTGTGACTGTTATTTCTCCTACAGCGGTGTTCCATTTGCATAATGAACACTTGAAGAAAGCCCACAAGTCAATTGAGGGGTCATTGGGACTGTTGACCTGAGCCGGTAGTAGCACTCTTATAAGTCTGCAGCAGCTTCGGAAATTTGTGAGACAATCGCAAGCTGAGTTAGGATTAATTTGGGACAGTGTAAATACAAACAAACAAAGCCATAATATCTATCATGTCATGGAAGAGATAAATTGTAATACTCAGCATGTCATCAACTTTCACACCCTATTCAGTGGGACCCTTTTCAAGCAATTCAGTAAGTTCTCCATTCAGTAGCCGGACTTTGAAACATGACTACAACAGATGTGTCTTTCCATCCATCACATTGCCCAGTTGCGTATGCACCTTCCATCATTTGAGTTAACACTTCTTGACGGGAATTGTATTCAGCATCTAGGACCTTTCCCGATAGGTGCTTCCAAGGTGGGAGTTTAATTCCCACTAGAGAGAACAGCTTGATGACCTCTGGATCATCAACTGAGAGAAAAGACCACCCAGCTGACACAATTGCACAAAGCAATTGTTGTTCAAGTACAGCCTGATCTAGATCTAGGGGGTGAGGTGGAATTTGTGAGAAGCTTCTCCGGCGTGTTGGAATGTTGTCTGTGGGAGGGACAAGTAGCAGAGGGGTCGGAGTTGGAGATGGAGAGGTGTGGATAGTTGACGGATTTTCAGTGCTGATAGATAGCCAAGGGAGGGGTGAAGGCTGCTTCTCTTGTGCGCGTTTCCAGGCCATTCCTGCCTCACGGCCTTCAGCAGAAGCATGTGTGCATACCATTAGGTGTTGTGCAAGCCTTGCAGTAGATCCTTGGATTTTGGGAGGGAGTTCGCTTGCTAGAATAATTTGGCATTAGGAGACGCTAAGCTGTGTTTAGACATACCAGCTGCCCTGAGTTCCACCTCTCGGATATAGTGCCCAACATCAATTTTTCCGTGTCTTCATTTTCAAGCGCTGTGATGTGTGATTCGATACACCCTTTGCATATAGCAGCATAGTGTGTCTTATTATTCCCATAAAACTCAGACAATTTGTGAAAGAACTCCCAGAGGGGGCTAGGTGCTAGACCCATTGGTGAAGCGTGATGTAGGAAGTGGAAGGATTATTCACATTTAAAATTTTAAACTAAGCCTTAAGCACCATCAGGGTTCAAGTTGCACAGACACTTTAATTTCACAAAACTAATAAGATGGCTGAGATGGTGCTCGGAGAGCTTCACATTTAACTACAAATCTGCATGCTTTTTGAGGGAGGGAGGGTCGGCACTGGCATGACAGTTGCCATCTCAATGCGTGCTCGCTTCATGTTCCCATGGGGATTGACCAGCAATTGATGCGGAATTGACATGATCTGATACGAATTTGACCCATCAGTGTCTGACCATGTGACAATTTGTGACCAGTGTCAATCCAACACTGTTTATATCCACTCCACTACCGGCATCCTGTTGGATCGACTTGTGAGAGAACTAGTGGACAATAAGCGCTCAGTTCACGAGAGTAGAACTAGAATGATATTAGTGTACCTACCGTAGGATTAGCACTAAGTAGAATACACAACAGTCTTTAGTAAGAGTAGTCACGCAAGAAAGGTAGACCTCACCTCAGTTCATGAAAGTAGAACTGAGGGAAACAAAAGAGGTCGTGTCCAGTGGCTTTCAAGCCCACAGTGATGCCGATCTACAAGAAAGACAAGAAAGGAACAAAGGAAAACCTCTGGCGGCTGCAGGTCCGTGCGCCCAAAATATGGGACGTCAATATTCCTTCCTAACTTCTAACACCCCCACTCGATGTACCATCCGATCTCTGGAAAAATGTATCCTTCCCTTGTAATCCCAAAGCCTCAGCGAACTTGTTGAATTTATCACTTCCCAATGCTTTCGTAAAGATGTCAGTGAGTTGATTGTTTGTAGACACATATTCGAGTTCGATTAACTTGTTGTCGACACATTCTTGGATGAAATGATGTCGAATCCTGATGTGTTTTGTTTGTGCATGAAAAGCAGGGTTGTTCATGAGTGCAATAGCACCTTGATTGTCGATGAGCAAAGTAATCGGGGTAGGAATGGACACACCAAGGTCACTGAGGAAGCGTCAAATCCAGATGGCTTCCTTCACAGCGTGTGTTGAAGCCATGTATTCGCCCTCTGTACTAGATAGGGCTACTGATGCTTGTTTCTTTGAACTCCAACTAACGGCAGCTCCAGCCATCTTAAAAACGAATCGTATCTGTTGTAAGTTAAACCACAATTGCGAGTAAGTGATAAGTAACGTAAAAGTCGATTGATTGACATTAGGTGTTCTTGTCCTGGGTTAGCCGAGTATTGGCTGAGAAGAGTGATCGCATAGCTGATGTCAGGTCTACTTCCCGATATTGTCATGTATCGGTTTGGGGAATTTCATAACGAGGTAATTTGAGACCGAGTGCGACAGGTGTGTAAGTAGGACGTGAGTTGAGAAAGCCAAAACGTTGCAGTACATCTTTGACATAGCGTTTCTGGGAGATATGGATTAGGTGCCGAGCTCGATCTCGAGTGATTTCAAGTCCGAGAAACCAGTGAATTTCGTCGAGATCCTTCATCTTGAAGGTAGACATGAGAAGTTTCTTCTTTCTTCGAAGGAGAGAGAGGTTGTCAGACAGGATCATAAGGTCATCGACTGTCATATCCATACAATCCCGACCTCCGCTCCGGGCTCCTGGAACTCCGAACTCCGACTTCCGGAGCCCTACTTCCCTTCCATCACTTTCTCCTTGCCGGCTCCCAGGGGGTTATCCCACCTCCGGCTCGGACACCACCTTCGGTCCGACTCCGGAACATTCCGGGTCCGACCCCAACCTCGACACCTTCCAGACGAGTATGCAAAACCTATGCTCCCGACTCCGGACCTCCGCTCTGGAATCCCGTTCGCGTCTCCGTCTCCGGAACCTCCGGTCTTAGCTCCGACCTCGGACTTTGACCCCACCTCCGCTTATACCCATTGTATTGGTTAGCTCATTCCATTTAATTATGTTTGCCAATATTCCGGAGTTTAACCTCCGAGTTCGGACTTTCCGGACTTACTCCGGACCTTGCAACTATTGCATTGTCCATTTCAATTCCGCTATTCTCCCTCATTCCTATTTGGGCTGCTGCTTCCTTTCTATTCAGTCAGCTAGCCATTCCCCACTCCCAACCTCCTTCCTTCCTCCTTGGGCCTTGGCCCTTCATTCCTCCTTTGGGAAACACCATTGAGTCAAACACTTGACCCTCGGTGTTGTTCCTCTTTCCATCTCCCTTTGTCTCCTTTCGTCCTACCCTTGTTCCTTTTGATTCCGGACCCCTCCTTATATACAATGTACCTAGTAACTTGTAACCTCAGTCCGAAATCGACTTGAATTCCCCCCAAGAGACTTTCCCTCTGCTAGATCCGAAATTAGGGACCCCTAGGACAACCAGCAATGGCACAGCGCTCCGCCTGAGTCGCTGAGGCTGAGGTCCTTCCACGCTAAGTCTCCGATTCCACTCCGGAGTCGTCCGAATCCGCCCGTTCTAACATCGACATACAGCGCGATGATGCAGATATGTTGCCGTTTTGAGCAAACAAATACCGCGTGATCCGAATCGCATCAGACAAATCCGATCTTCATCAACTCTTCCTTCGCCTTCATGTACCATGCTCATGAAGCCTGCTTCAACCCATAAAGACTCTTTTGTAACTTCCAGACAATACCTGGTCTCCTGAAGTCTGCACTTCCTGGTGGAGGTTGCATATAGGTCTCATGCTCCAGTTCTCCATTCAAAAAAGCCATGGTGACGTCCATCTGATGAACTTCAAGGTTGCGATGTGCAGCCAGGGCAAGGAGAATTCGTATTGATGACCATTTCACGACAGGTGTGAATGTTTCATTATAATCGATCTCATAGACTTGACTAAAACCTTTGGCGACGATTCAAGCCTTGTAGCGTTCAATCTTGCCATTGGATCCTTGTTTCAGTGCGAATACCCATCGGCATCCAATGATATTCGAAGCATCAACATCTTTTCGATTAACTGGCACATACGTTTTGGTTTCCCTTAGTGCCTTGAGTTCATTCAAGCACGCTTCCAACCAAGAGTCTGAGTTGGGTCGGTTCATCGCCTCATTGTAGGTGCACGGTTCATTCCCTGTGGCAGTCATCGCCCATGCTGCCCCCACTGACTCTGGTATCTTCTTTTTGTTGTAGGAACTGACGTTATATCGGTCGTCATCATCTGGAATGGGAGCGTGTCGTAGTCAAGTCAATTGTCAAGGGAGTTCAGTGAGTTCCTCGGGTGTCTCGTCATCATTACCTGATTCCTCCCTCACGTCTTCCCTTCCCTCATCCTCGTCCTTCTCTTCTTCTTCCATTGTCGCCACAACATGCCCCCTCAACTCCACAATCGGCACTTAAATCGTTACTCGCTCCGAGTTGGCGACCCCTTCAAAGAAATGCACGTCCCTAGACTCAAGGACTTTGCACGATGTGGGATCATATATCAAGAAGGCCTTTTGCCTTGGGCAACGCCAATATGAATCCTGGTGAGTGAGCGATCATCAAGTTTACCTCGTTGATCTTTTGGGATGTGGAGTGTGGCTTTACAGCCAAAAGTTCGGATAGTGGAGACAGTAGGTTTGTTCCCTGTATAGCGTTCATGAGGAGAGATGCCGTTGGGAAGTGATGAATGGGGAGAGACATTTTTGATGAGAGCGGCATGTCGAAGGGCATAGGGCCAGGAGGTACGTCCGATCTGAGACTCAACTCCTTTCATCATCGCGATAGCCATGCTGACCAACGTTCTATTAACTCGTTCCGCTACCCCATTCTCTTGCGGAGTCTGAGGGTTAGTCTTTTCATGGAGAATTCCCATACCCTTCAAGAATGTGACAAAGTCATTTGAGAAATACTCGCCTCCTCCATCTGTCCGCAGGGTCTTCAACTTCTGCCTGGTTTGCCTTTCCGCTTCAGCAAGGTATTCCTTGAACCGTTCCAGAGCATGGTCTTTAAGACCCTGACTGTCACAACTGTCGATGACTCCTCCCAGCTGAATACTGCCACACTTCTTCGCCAAATCTACCATGAAGAAAACCGTAAAGAACATTCTTCCGGTATTGCCGCTATGGTGGCTAAAACGCCAAAACCTGATCGGAATAACTCACCGAAACCAAGCAGTCAAAAACCCAACACTCCCAAGTCTAACGTTCAGTGTACTAATCCCAAGTGCGGAAAACTTGGTCATACATTTGAGCGATGCTGGGCAGAGGGCGGAGGATCAGAAGGAAAGGGACCAAGAAGAGCAAAGGCTAAGTGAACGCCACCTGCAGGACCCTCTAGAGAGTCTGCTAAAGTCGCCATGTCCAACACAAAAGTTGAAATGCTGTTAGCTTCTGCAGAAAAGACATATTCCGGTCAAGAACGCCACACAGAGTGGGTAGTTGATTCCGGCGCTACGGTGCACTTATGTGGGAATCGAGAATGGTTTACCGCTTATCACCCCCTTCATCCTCCTTGAGAGATAATCCTTGGAAACAAAAAATCGATTCTTGCACCTGGAATTGGTCAGATCGAAGTCGAGATCAGAATCGGAGACTCTTCTTGACTCACCACCATCCGTAACGTCCTTCATTGTCCAAAAATTGCCCACAATCTCCTTTCTGTCCTGCAACTCTCTTCCTCTGGTGCCCAAGTACGATTCCTTGACAAGACTTGCCACATCCTCAACTCGTCCAATGAGCTAATCGCCATAGCCACCCTTGACAACGGCCTATTCCGACTACCTGTAACAGTTGTTGATACAGAAAAGGCCTTCATATCCACTATCGACGCACCAGAAAATGCCAATCTGGCACGATCTGTAACAGCAAGCACGTCACTTGACATCTGGCATATGCGCTTAGGCCACATATCAAAGGAATCTATCCTTAATATGATGCGCAGTGGAATGGTAAAAGGGATGGACGTACTAGGGAAAAGATCACCCGAAGAACCAACTTTCTGCCAAGGTTGCAAAGCGTCTTCGCACCATCGCAATCCGATCCCATCCAAAACACATACCAGAGCCAATCAAGTTCTTG